GTGACAGGAGGGCCATAAGCTGGACCCAGGGCCCTCTGTGCCCAGCTCAGGAAGAGGGGCTCTTTCAGCCACTAGTTTGGAGGCTGGGTTGGGGCAGGAGTGACAAAGACAATATTGTCACATGTGGATCCCTGTAACACCTGTAGCACCTTTTGCACCCAGAAGGTGCTCCGTGTGTATCGGATTAAGTAGAGCCAGAAGGTGAGCTTTGTATTAATTCCATTTACCGTCTTGGCTTCGTTTTTATTGACCCACACCTATTGGGAGTCCTTTTCACGAGAGCACTTAATTCCCCAGTGCAGACCACAGAGAGTAAGGTAGGTGGTCTCAGGTGGTTTATTAGAACTGAAACCAGAATGGTGAGGAGGCATTTGTGTGAAAACCTGGAAGCAGTTCATTTTGGTGGCATCAGTGGGCTGTATAAACTTGGGGTAGGGGCTTGATGAATCTGAGCAACCAAACATGGCTGGGGGTGATTTGAAAGGGGTGGTATGGAATGAGGCAGGCAGGGACCAAGGAGATGGGTTGTGAGGGCTGTGGAGAGGAATTGGGATATCGCTCTGAAAGCAAGTGTGTGTACATGTGGGTGTAGCTGGCAGGGTGTAGGGAGAGCTGAGGGGACTTGGAGGAGAGCGGAAGAAATATGGCTACAACAGGCTGACGTTGGGAGGTGCTGCATGGAGGGAGCTGATGGGATGTGCTACTGGAGTTAATATGGGGGTGAGGGAAGGAAGGGCCACCAAATGATGTTCTGTTTCAGCTTTATCAACTGGGTGGCTTTCCAGGCCAGCCTCTAAGAATGACCTCAGTGCATAGCCCCTTTGGACCTGTGTCAGCAGCCTGTAGTCGCTCGGTAGCCTTCTCCCTTGCCTGGTGGGTTTTCTGCATCTCAGTTGCTTCTCTGAGCCCTTCTTCTCTCCTCTGTCCTCAGCATTATGGCAGAACAGGATGTGGAAAATGAGCTTCTGGATTACGAGGAAGATGAAGAGCCCCAGGCTCCTGCAGAAAGCACCCCAGCGCCCCCTAAGAAAGATGTTAAGGGATCATACGTTTCCATCCACAGCTCTGGCTTCCGGGACTTTCTGCTGAAGCCTGAGCTCCTGAGGGCCATAGTGGACTGTGGCTTTGAGCATCCATCTGAGGGTACGCTTCCCTGGTCCTCCCCACCACACCCCTCCTCTGACTGTCCTCACTGTGATTCCCTCAGCCGCCTGATGAGGGGCCCACACAGAGGGAGCATCTGGTTTCCAATCACTCAGGCTCTCTCTCTCTCTCTCTCAGTTCAGCACGAGTGTATTCCCCAAGCCATCTTGGGCATGGACGTCCTGTGCCAGGCCAAGTCTGGAATGGGCAAGACAGCGGTCTTTGTGTTGGCCACTCTGCAGCAAATTGAGCCCGTCAATGGACAGGTGGGTGGGCACCCTCCCTCCCAGGCCTAACCTGCCTGAGCTAGCAGACCCTAACAGCCCCTCTGTTAAAAATTTCTGTTCCTACATTCTGTTTGTGGCCCTTTAAAATGAAGTACAGTACTTACTTGTAACAAAATCCTCCCGCCTAGTTGTAACAAAATTTCTCTCCAAAATAATAAAGCAAGAGAAAAAACTGGAAAGTGCCCATCGATTTGCCATAGTTTTCGCTGTATATTTTCTAAACTGTCCCTATTTCTGAAGGGGGGTTATATTGCACACGGTTTTGTTACTGCTCTTGCTGCCGAGATACCATAGCTGTCTTCTCATGTTCTCATGTCATGAAAATTGTGTGCCACTCTCTTAGGGGATAATTGAGGTGAATACCAGTGTTATGTTCTTGTCCTGCTGGGGCAGCATCCTTGGGCTGCGTAGGGGTGCACGAGCTTTGGTTTTCTTAGGGTGTGTGGTGAAGGAGGGAGGTTGTATGGTTGCAGAAGGCCAGGTCAGTTGGGGCCTGTCACTGGCCAGAGAGCAGTAGCGTGGGCTCTGGTCAGGGAGGATTTAGGACACTTCCTTGGGTGAGTCTTTCCTGCCCACCCCACAGGTGACAGTCCTGGTCATGTGCCACACTCGGGAACTGGCCTTTCAGATCAGCAAGGAGTATGAGCGCTTCTCCAAGTACATGCCCAGTGTCAAGGTGAGCCTCCTTGGGTCAGGCTGGGCGTCATGTGGTTATCTGCAGCCTGGCTGGCCTCAGCTCTGGCCTCGGCTCTGGCCTCAGCTCTGGCCCAGCCAGCATTTACCAAACTTGGCTGCAGCAGCTGCCTTTGAGGTTTGCGGTGGTTTATACTCCTTAAAAGTCTGGTGAATTATGCATGGCCCCAGAGGCCTGTGCCAGTCTCCGCCCTGGGCTGCTTTTCATTGGAGCTGTGCCCAAGCTCTCAGGCCTCTCTAGGCTGGAGTATTGGGGCCTGCTGCATGCCCTCAGCCTGAGGTGGCAGGACCACCGGCTGAGTGGCTGTTATTATGGAGTGGAGTGAGAGGCATCAGCCCCTAGATGGGCAGAAGTGACTTCCTCTACACCTTCATAGGTGTCCGTGTTCTTTGGGGGCCTTTCTATCAAGAAGGACGAAGAGGTGTTGAAGAAGAACTGTCCCCACGTTGTGGTGGGGACTCCAGGACGCATCTTGGCACTTGTGCGGAACAGGAGCCTCAACTTGAGGAACGTGAAGCACTTTGTACTGGACGAGTGTGACAAGATGCTGGAGCAACTGGGTGAGTGTCCCTGACTGGGTTTGTGGGGGCTGCCAGAGACCCATCAGCTTCACCCTCCTCCCTCTTAGCCCCACAGACTCCAGGTGGGCTCTGACAGACAGACCAAGGACTTCCCCACATTGGGGTCGTGTGGGTGGCTGGCACACAGGTCTCCTGTAAATGATTTTAGGGCAAGTTCTTCTTGTTTTAGTCTGATGCGACCTGCTACTTCTGACTCCCAAGCTGAGTAGGACCACAGGGCCCGAATGAGCCCTCATACATGTCTGCCCTGGGCTTGCCATGGCCTCCTCTCCTGTTGGGTTAGTTCTAGGCCCCCTGCCTGCCCTCAGTGAGCCCTGACGGGGCAAGTCAGAGGTGGGGCTTGTGTCCTGGGAGGCAGCTGCAGCTCTCACCCCAGTGGCTGTCTCTGCTTCAGGCTCCCCTCCCTGAAGCGCGGCTCCAGGTGCGCTGGCACGGCTGCTTCGCTCTGGCAGCGTGTAAGTGGATTGCAGCTCCTCCTGGGCCTGCGCTCACCCTGAGTCCAACCCCACAGGCACTGGGGACTCGCCCCTCCCTCTACTCCTTGTGCACACCACCCCCATCTTGGTGCTAGGTTGGGAGGTGCTGGGACTGGTCTCGGGTGGGGGTTGAGGTCTGGCAGGAGCTCAGGCCCACCTGTTTCTTGTCTTCCCCACCCAGACATGCGGCGGGATGTGCAGGAGATTTTCCGCCTGACACCTCATGAGAAGCAGTGCATGATGTTCAGTGCCACCCTGAGCAAGGAGATCCGGCCCGTCTGCAGGAAGTTCATGCAAGATGTGAGTAGGACAGTGGCCAACACCGCAGTGCAGCAGCTTTGGCCCTTCTGGGTCATGGGGCCCAAGCTGACTCTGCTGCATGACACCCACAGCACAATGCTGAGAGGCTGTGGAGCCTGCCCTCCCTCCTCTGTCTTGTCATTTTGGGAACTGAGCTTGGTCCAGACCTGAGCCAGACCAGAGCTTAGATCCAGCTGTTGGGAGAGATGTGGTTACTGGGTGCAGCAGCCTCTCTGGGAAGCATCTCAGCATGGAGTCACTTCTGGAAGGTTCTGGGCAGACAGTGTGCCCAGAAGTAAAGCCTTGCCCACCCCTTCCTGCCCCACTCTCCTCAGCCTATGGAGGTGTTTGTGGACGATGAGACCAAGCTCACACTGCACGGACTGCAGCAATACTATGTCAAGCTCAAAGACAGTGAAAAGAACCGTAAACTCTTTGACTTGTTGGATGTGCTGGAGTTCAACCAGGTGACACTGCTCTTGCCTGTGGAGGGGCTCTGGGCCTTTGGGAGGACGGTGCATGGGGACTCTGGCCCTGACTCCGCTGCCTTCCTCTGGCAGGTGGTGATCTTCGTGAAGTCGGTGCAGCGCTGCATGGCCTTGGCCCAGCTGCTCGTGGAGCAGAACTTCCCAGCCATCGCCATCCACAGGGGCATGGCGCAGGAAGAGCGGTGAGTACGCGCTGCCATGAAGGCCCAAGGCAGGACCCTGGGAGGCAGTGCTACTCAGGAACCCGGTACCTGATGGCTGCCTCTTCCTCCTGTGCCCAGCCTGTCGCGCTATCAGCAGTTCAAGGACTTCCAGCGGCGGATCCTCGTGGCCACCAATCTCTTTGGCCGAGGAATGGACATTGAACGAGTCAACATCGTCTTCAACTATGACATGCCTGAGGACTCAGACACCTACCTCCACCGGGTGAGTGGCCCCACAGAGGTGTCACCTCCTTGATGATCCCTTTTGGGGTGGGAACCAGGCTCGGCTTGTCTTTAGATCTCCAGGTTGTGTTTTTGTGGCCTGACCTATGTTCTTATGTCCCTGCAGGTGGCCCGTGCAGGTCGCTTTGGCACCAAAGGCCTAGCTATCACTTTTGTGTCAGATGAGAATGATGCCAAAATCCTCAATGATGTTCAGGACAGGTTTGAAGTGAATGTGGCAGAGCTTCCTGAAGAAATTGACATCTCTACATACAGTAAGTGGCTTGGACAGGAGGGGTGGGCTGGGGTCCAGGGGCCTCTCCTTTCTTAGCGGCGGCCTCATGTGTGTCTTACAGTTGAGCAGAGCCGGTAACCACGTGCCCGACATCCTGGAGCCACCCTGCTTCCCACGTGCTGCTTCAAGTCCTCTTTCTAGGCCACAGCAGGCCTTTCTTTTTACTGTTTAAAAGCTGTAGATTTGTGTAAGAATAAATTTTTATTATGAAAGCCCGGCTTTCGCCCATCTGTTTCTTACTGGTCTCTGCATTTCACAGACACAGTGAGTCTGGCCAGGGAGCCCCCAGCCAGCCAGCAAAGCCACCTTCTGTATCAATGTGAGATTTAAGTGTCAACATTGAAAATTTATACAGATAATAAGAAACATTACACAATATCCACCACCTTCAAAACAGTGAGACCCTTCTGCCAAAGAGGCAGACTGGCCTCTGTACCGTGAGCCACCGGGCCAGTAATGCCCTTCTCCCATCCTTGACCTCAGTCTTAGCTTAATAGGAAAAGTTGAATCCCAGCACACTGGCCTCTTGATTTGTAGCAGACAGATGAGTGGGGGGCCAGGTGGGCACAGGAGCCTTGTCTGTCCAGGCATTGTGTACCAGGACAAGAGGCTGTCGCCGTGGTCCAGCCCCTGCCCGCCCGGAGTCCCAGCTGGGGTGCAGCAGAGGCAGCCACAAGCAGGCCCATCAGGTCCAATTTCACCCTGGCTGTGTGTTCCTAGGTTTGGTGCCAAAGAACAACTATCAGCTTCCCCTCTCCAAGGAGGGTGGAGGGAGCAGGGTGGTGGGAGAGGAGGGGATGGTCTTCAGCAGGTGGAAAAGCTGCTGAGGAGGCCACAGGAGCTGCCAGCCTGGCCAAAACCTGTGGTCACATGCCAGACTCGGATGTCCTGAGGACCTGGAGAGAGAGGAGCCCAGTGAGGACCAGGTCCAGCCCAAGGCTGCCTTCTGGCCCAGCACCTCTGCACCAGGGTTGGCCCTTACCTTAGTCTGGTTGTGGCTGGAGCTTGATGTGGACGTGGTGAAGTCTGAATACTTGTTCCCAGTGACCATGTAAGCCCACTTCCAGTACTCCTCCCTCACCTGCAGGGCCCAAGATGCCAGGTCAGGGGAGGAGCAGCCCCGAGAAGTAGGGGAAGGGAGAGGGTACCGGTCTCCCCTCCAAATGGGGACCCAAAGCTCACCTTCTTGTTTAGCAGGCAGTGCAGCAGGAAGAGGAAGAGGCCTTGAAAGCAGTTGAGGATGGTGAAGATGTAGGCCAGCACATGGCTATAGCCACCTTCTCTGAAGAGGAATAGGCCGGAGGCCCACGTGCAGCCCAGCACAAAGAGCTGTGCAATGGCTGTGATGGTCAGCACCCTGGGGGGAAGACGGCAGCTGCAGCAGGGGGCCAGCCCCAACATCCCACCTCTCCCTGTCAGCCCCTGCCCTCACCTGGCCTTCTTTAATTTATTCATGTCTGGGTTGATCTCAGAGAACTTCTGAGTGAGCTTCCAGATAGTTATCACAAAGATGACAGTATTGCACTGGGCGGGGAGCAGAGAGTTTATATTAGGGGTTGTCCTTAGAATTTGCAGGGAGAGCTGATCTGTTGGGCTCAGTGAGGGACCAGGTGGCTCAGGCTTTGAGGATGGAGTATGAGGGTATAGTTACCAAAATGATGAAGGCCACAGGTCCATTGAAGCTCCAGACGAAGCCGTGGTCACTTGTTAGCCAGCAGCTGGGCGAGAAGGGAGGAATCTGGTCAGGAGCCTGAGGGGAGTTGGGGGAGTGGAGCGCTGTGTGTGGTGCAGCCCCATGTCCCTGGATGATGCCTGACCCTCTTGTGGCCCCACCACTCCGCACTCACAAGTGATTGCGGCCATAGCCATTGTGATAGGCCGCTGCTGAGATGGCCACCACGAGCCCAGGAACACCGTAGCCAATCAGGTAGAGCCAGCGCTTGCTCAGGCCCTGGCCCTGGAACACACGCACCACAAGGAAATAGAGCTCCAGGCCCTCCAGGCTCATCCAGCAGAAGGCGGCCAGGAAGCAGTAGTGCAGCAGCCCGGCCACTAGGCGGCAGCTTGGCCCCACCTGCAGGGGCAGAGGGGGAACCCCCATGTCAGCAAAGGGCTAGGGCACCCACCACCAGGTGCTGGCACCCAGTCTCCCACTCTTACAGGGGATGGGGTTCAGGGAGTGGGAGAGCTCCCCTTACCCAAGGCCTTGCTGGCCTAGTGCCCTGGTGCGAGTGGGGCACTCCACGGGGCCTGGCCTCACCTCGCTGCCTTTGTTCTCGATGCCTGCTAGAAATATGGCGGAGCCCAGGAAGAGGCATATGCAGAGGTGCAGGTGCACTGTGGTGCGCGAGCCCTGGATGGGCCGCACTAGCAGGAAGGTGAGGATGCACAGCAGCAGGCAGACCAGCGACAGTGCCAGTCCCAGTTTGGTGATCAGGGTCAGCTTCGGGTCCTAGATGTCGAATGGGGTGGGCGGGGCTTGATCGGCACCGTGAAGGTCTTCCTTGTGGGCCCCACAGCCCAGACCCACCTGAGGCCTGACCGGCCTGCAGGACTCAAATTAGGCTGATCACCACCCCCACCTCTCTGCCTTCAACAACAGAGCAAGTCTGATGTATCTTTGTCATCCTAAATGCCACCACACACACACACACACACACACACACACACACACACATACACACACACGTGCAACAAGGTTCCCACTATGCACCCAGACTGTTCTCCCAAAAAGCTCCCCAGTAAAGTCCACATCTTTTTCCCCCGCACTGATGGGTCCCCTTCTCAGACGTCACCTGCTTCTCCCCTACCTTGCCACACTTATCAGCTCACAGACCCCAGTTTAGTATTTCCTGGGTCTTTGTCATGCACCACCAACCTTCCCTACTCTGCCTGGCCGATTCCAATTATCCACAGGGCCATATATTTATGGATCACCTGAGACCACATTCAGAAAGTTGTGTTTCAGCTTTTAGTGATATTTAACAACTAGACCCACTGGAGTGGGGTGGGTAGTTGGGGGCCCACTAGCTGAAGCAGGGGCTCCAGTGTCAGCTCAGACTGTTTAGTTGCCAGGTCATGGGGAGGTAGTCTGTGGGTCCCAGAGAGAACTGGGTGGGGAGGATGCAGCATGGGCCCACCTGGGCTGTGCAACCATCCAGAACCAGTTGGGCCATATCATCAAGAACCAGCTGCTTGTCTCAGCTGAGCTGGCCTTTTATCTGTGGGCTTTGAGGGCGGCCCTGGGCTGCTCACCTCCACATCATAGTGGGCCATGAGGATGGCAAAACTGCTCAGGTGGCTGCATCGGCAGGTGGTACTGCCGTTCCTGCTGCCCACCTTCCAGCAGCCTGTGGTGGCCCAGTACCCACCACTGTCGTTGTCACCCTTCCAGAAGGCACAGATTAGCTCCTGCCGTGACTGGGGCTCCTCCTCCTGTGGGCAGGTGGGGGTGGTCAGAGATGTTAGCTTAGAGCTCCCTCCTGGGTTCTGAGCTTGGGCTGGGTCTGAGAAAGGGTGTTTTGCATTGACAAGTATTTACTGAGCCCCTACTGTGTGTGCCAGCTAGGGGCGCAGCACAGAAAAGAGCAGACACAAGTCCCTGCCCTTGTGTAGCTGTTATGCTCATGGGGAGACAGGCAGTATATAGTAAACCTAATAAATAAGGAACTAGATAGTGTGGTAGAAGGTGGTGCTATTGGAAAAAAAAAGAAAAGGAAAAGGAGCAGGATGGAAAGAGGTAGGACATGATTGATTACAGGTTGTATTTTAAATAAGGAGGTCAGCCCTGGCTGGTGTGGCTCAGTGGACTGAGCACTAGGCTGTGAACCAAAGGGTCGCTGGTTGGATTCCCAGAGCACATGCCTGGGTTGTGGACCAGGTCCCCAGAAGGGGGTGTGAGAGAGGCAACCACACATTGATGTTTCTCGCCCTCTTTCTACCTCCTGTCCCTTCTCCCTAAAAATAAATAAAAAATCTTTTAAATAAGGAGGTCAGGAATAGCCTAAAAGAGAAGGTGGCTTTAGAACAAAGACTAGAAAAGGTAAAGGGCTGAGACATGTGAGAGAAAGCTGTCCCAGGCAGGCAGCACAGTAAGTACAAAGGCCCTGGGGTACATTTAGGAAGCAGCAGAATGGACAGAGGTGGGGAATGGAGATTGCGGAGGGGCCACCATGACACTGCCTATGGGGTGAAGAGTGGGACTGACCCCCCCCCTCCCCAAGTACTCACAGGGTATGAGAAAGAGAAGTTGACAGGGGAGCCTAGTTTCTCCGTGTTCTTGTTGCTCAGAAAGACCGTGTTGACAGCGGACAGGAGCCTGGGCTGGCCACCACCAACAGGACCTCCATGTGTGTTTTCCAGCTGGGCTTTCTTCTCGGGGTCCAGCTTCAGTGAAGCATTGGCCAGCAATTTCTGCATGTTGCGGCTGGAGAATAAGCCTGCCAGGGTGGGGCCTGAGGGGCAAACAGGCTGGATGTCTTCTCCTGCCCTCCTTCCTCCCCACTAAGAAGTATAAATGTGGCATTTCCAACTGTTACATGTTTGGAACCTCACCCCAGCCACACCCAGCTCTTTCTTCCCTCTCCCTGGTGCCCCCTCCATCTCCCTGCTGTTACCCGGCTCCCCGACTCCAACTGCCTCAGCCCAGTTCAGCTGCATCCGTGCATGGCTCTGGCCCAGGGTGACGGTTCCATTCCCTTGCTCCTGGATCACCAGAGACAGCTCTGAGGGGAGAGGGGCAGTGACTGGGGGCTCCAGTTGCTGGTTGAGGCCCAGGGCTGGGGTGGGGCAGGAAGAGGCCTCACCTGTGACTGAAGGGGAATGGTAGGTGTAGGAGGGTTTAGATATGGCTGTGGCCAGAGTCCTCAGGACTTCTTCCAGGTACAACAGCAGGTAGGTGGCCACACGGTGCCGGTCAGGCAGGGTCAGGGCCTCCAGGTCCCCAGGGACTTCCAGTAGCTCATCCAATGCCTTGATGACATTCTGGGGGTGAGGGGTGACAGCTGCTGGGTCACTGCACCACAGGAACCTCCCAAAGGACCTGATCTCACTCCCTCACAAGGGGACACACCAGAGAACCACCCAGGGTGACTGGGGGACAGGCACAAGGGGATCATGGAGACACAGCAGTAGCCAGAAGACAAGTAGGAGGGTGAGTGGATGCCTGTGAGCACCTGAAACAATGGCTCTTAACATTTACCAATCCCTGAGGTTCTGCGAGGGACTGTTGTCAGCCTGTGCCGTCCAGGACAGTTGCCATGAGCCACATGTGGTGCCATGTTGAAGTGGTAATATTTCTAATGTATTGGGTTAATGCAACCTTCACATTAATTTCACTTGTTTACTTATATTTTTTTAAATAAAGCTACTGGAAAATTCAAACTGACATACAGGGCTCATATATTTCTGCCAAGCTAAGTGCATATGCTAAAACATACCTCTAATGCTAACTGTGTGCCAAGCAGGCATCTCTGAGCCCTCTCTTAGTTCACTTAACCTTTCACAACCGCTGCATGAAGGAGGCTGAGCCCCACTCAGGGGGAATCACTTGCCTGAGGTCACAACAGAAAGGGCAGTGGGGTTGGAACCTTTGTGGCTCAGCTCCAGAGGCAAAATCCTCCCTTGCTCCATTCTGTAGCCATTAGATCCCTCTTGAGTGTGAGTGTGTGTGTGAGGGCTCTGCTCCAGCCACTGGGGGACCCAGGAACCAGGGTGTGTGTACATCTATCTGTGTTTGTGAGATGGGGATATCTATGGGGTGTGTATGCTGTGCACACAGACACACATGTTTCTCTGATTAGAGGCCCTTGTTTGGGCTGCCTCCACTCACCCGAAAGCATCCCCAGCCAGCCCCACACTGTCCTGGGGTCCCCCCAGGTCCAGCCCTTACCTTGATGGTGTCCTTGGCCGAAGCAGGCCTGAAGTCTCTGGCCAGATCCTGGACTTGTTTTGAAAAGTGGGAGAGACTCTGGAAGAGAAGAGAGGAGGGGTCAGAGAGCCTCACCTGTGGTGGGGGAGCAGCACGGGGAGCAGTCCCTGCTGGAGTCACTCACCTGGCTCTTGATTCCAGGGGGAGGGGTCCAGGTGGGGCAGGGGATCACTGCAGGGGACAGAACAGAGGCTCATTAGGTGAGAATGTCTGTGTGTATTGGAGGCAGGGTCTAGGGTCCGGCCAGGTTCCTTCACACTGGGGAGTCCTTTGTTTATTAGGGAATCTGGGTTTGGGCACCAAGCCCGGGAGGCAGTGGCACACGTATGAGCCCAGAGTGTTGATGCAGAAGGTGGAGCTGTCACACTGATGCTCCCCAGAGCTGCACTCGTCCACATCTGGGGACACCAAGAGGGGGTCAGGCCCTGCCCGTCCCAGCGGATCAGGCCCCTCTCCTCTTTGTACCCTGCCCCTTCCTCATGTAAGTGTCTTATACTTGCCCCCTTGGCCGGAGGTGATGACACCTGTTGACTGCAGGTCCCTGTGTGGCAGACCCAGGGACTATGGGAAGTGTGCAGAGGCCTGACACGTAGCAGGTGAGCCCCACACTGATGTGCAGGTGTGTGGTACTGAAATACCCTCATCCCAGTAAGTGATTAGCTGCTGCCTGGGTCCCCCAGGAGCCTTCGCCTGGATACCCCGGCTCCTCCCCTGGGCCCCTGGAGACCCTTTCCCATTTAGCCTCATAAGAACACTTTGCAGGCCAGGGCACGCCCAGCATTCATTCTGCTGGGTTCCTGTGTACACCACTGAGTGTGTGATCAAATGGTTTCACTCATGGCCTTCGGATGTGTATAGAATCTGAACCCCTGACCTTCACAGATGGTGTTGTTTGGGCCATTGGGGGACCCAGGAACTGGCTTCCAGCCGGGAGGGCAGCGGCACTTGTAGCTGCCCTGGGTGTTGATACAGTTGGTGGACTTGTGGCAGGGGTTTTGCCCCGAGGAACATTCATCCACATCTGAGGACAAAGCCAGAGCGTTAGGCCCTCCCTCTGCTCACTGCTGGCATCCTTCCTTCCTCTTCTCTCAAATTGCTTAGCAGTTCCCTCTGAGGACACCCCACAATGCCCCACTTACCAGCCACTTAGCCTATCAGAATACAAATGTGTGATGACGTGTTTCACTGTAAAAGCACCATAAGCTCAGAGTATCCCCACAAGGTGGACAGGGCAGGACTGTGTGTGTGCAACTGTCATCTGGGAGCTGTGTCCCCCCAGGGGCGGTGGGCTGGGCGGGCACCTGTGATGGACTCTGACTAGGGAGGCTGCGGCACCGACGTCTCTCCCCATGTGGATGCTGTGGGTTGGGGCACCAATGCCATCCAGAGCTGCATCCTGCACTTGTTAGCACAGAACCAGAGGCTCGGCCCTGCCCGGTCAGGCACCCTCCCATCACTGCCTGCACTGAGGTCACACTGTTGCTGAAAGTGCTGCCACCTCTTCTCTGCCAAAGCTTGTTATGGCAGCTTCCTTCAAGCTGCCTCAACAAAATAGGAGGATGTGGCACATTTATGAGATCTGAACTCCGAACCTTCACAAACGGTGTTGTTTGGGCCATTGGGGGACCCAGGAACTGGCTTCCAGCCAGGACGGCAGCAGCACTTGTAGCTGCCCCGAATGTTGAGGCAGTGGGTGGAGTTGTGGCAGGGGTTTTGCCCCGAGGAACATTCATTCACATCTGAGGACAAAGCCAGAGTGTCAGGCCCTCCCTCTGCTCATTGTACCCACTTCTCACTGTCCCACACTAAGGACCCCACATTTAATACACAGGCTACCACCTAGTGACCTTCAACTTCACCCTCTAAGCACCTTATGGTGGCCTCCCTGCAAGATGGACACAGCAGGGTCCATTGTCTCCAGTTTATAGGTGGCAAAACCAGGAGGGAAACTGAGTTTCTGGCTGGACTTCCTGACCAAAGGCTCCTGCCTGCTCTCTCCTGGGCCCCGGCCCATGTTCCCTTTCTGGGAACATGTGACACATGAAAGAGGGGGATGTCTAGGGGTGTTCACAAGGGCTGCTCAGAAAACCCCCTGGTCTCTGGCAGGACCTCTCAGGGAGGCGAATCCTTGGGCAGGCCCTTGGTAGGCCTGTGGCATTTCAGGAACCTCAGAATCTTCTCCCGCCTCCTCGGGCTGCGGGACCTGCCCCGGCTCCTTCCCCAGCTCCAGTCCAGCCTCATGGTGTCTTCCTGGGGCCTCTCTACCTCTGCACAGCTTCGGGTCCTCTGGGTTGGTCTTCAGCCCCAGTGGGTACCTGCAGGTGTAGCTACCCTGGGTGTTGACACAGATGTGGCGGCTTTTGCAGATTCCAAGGCCCAGCTGACATTCGTCCACGACTGCAGGGGAAGGAGAGCGTGGTGGACACCTGTAGCCATGGGCAGCCTTCTAGCATAGAAGCGTCTGGAAGCATCCCAAGTGTGTGGGTGACTTTTCTAATTCACACAGAGGTGTCCTATGGATAAACGTGGTGGCCTTATGCTTTGTTGTCCAGATGTGGCCAGAAGCAGCCCACACCCTCCCTGCCAGCTTTGACTCCTTCAGACTCCCAGGCAACTCCCAGCTGGGACAGGGACATCACCACCACGTATCCAGCCTGAGGACCTGGGCAAAGGCCAGGGCGGGCCTTCCCAGAACCGAGTGCAGGAGAAATGCTGCGTTCCCGGAGCAGGGCTCGTTTTGGCGGCCTCTGTCCTGACTCCCCCGGAGTGAGGGATATGGGCTGAGTTCTCCTTAGAATCCTGGTGGCTCTGGTGAGACAGCGGTCTGCCATCCAGGCTAATTCGGAGACTCCAGTCTGGGGAGATGGACCGAGAACCACCCCTTTTCCTGACAAGGCTTTTGGGCAGGAGCCCAGGAAATGAAAATGGTGCCAGAGGCCAGGGCCACCTGGACAGTGGGTGCCAGGCTGTGATGGACAGCAGGGCCCACATCCAGCCACACAGCCTTGGAGCAGTTAAGGTGCCTCTTCCGGTCCCCATGAAGGTAGCCCCTGGACTGGCAGGAAGTGGTGAGAATCCACATGTGAGCCCAGGCAGCGGTGGGCAAGGGCTGGGTGCCTGGAGTGGGGAGCAGGTGCTGATGGGTGAACAGTGGCAAGCGTTTCTGTCATGTGGCTCCTTGATCTCTCACCAGCGACACAGACCTGTGGGCTTTTCCAAGGGCCTCAGCCTCCATCTTCCGTCCCTCAGTGAGTGGGCCTCCATGGCTCCTGGGTTGACCTCCTCAGTAGAGGATTAAACCTGGGGCAATGGTCTCCAATGACGCCCTCTCTTATCTTCTGGTCCAGATGGGAGCCTCTTCATTCACTCAACTCTCTAAGTCTGGGGCAGGGTTGGGGAGATCAGTGTCACCCTGCTTACCCCCAACATGTCATTCTACTGGTCCCAGCCATCCAAGCTGCTCACAGTCCCGTGAGCTGAAATTACTGGGGAGGATCAGGGCGGAGGCTTCCTTGAGGAAATGGATGGAGGCTGAGTGGCTGAGAATTGGGGTCGGGATGCCAAGAGGCAGCTTCTCCAGGCGGGGTTGTTGGCCAGAGGCAGGGCCAGTTGGGGAAGGTGGGCCTGAATCTCTGTTCTCCCAATTTTCCTGATGGGGCCCCCAGGTCCATCATGGCCCTGGGGCTCTGAGAGGACCTCCAGTGTCAGGTCGTATCCTGGCAGTTGCTGGAGATGGTGCAGCAGACAGATGTTGCTCTGGAACGTGCTGCGCTGTGAGCTCCTGAGGTGTCCTGAATGCCAGCACCATCATGGTTTTATGCAAATAAGATGTCAGGTGAGTGGGGAAGACATTCCAAACTTCTGGAAATGGCCTCTGCAGAGGGTTCTGAGCCCCAGGGTTCACAGAGGCTGGGAGACCAGGTAGGTGCCTGGAATGGCCCGTTGATGCCTGGAGAAAGTGGGGAGAGCAGCCAAGGAAGTGGCCTGGGTCCTGCTCAAAGCAGGCCTCATGGGCCACGACACATGAGTAGACAGGCCCTCAGGTAGGCAAAGGATGGAATGCCGAGGCGGGAAGACGGCCCAGCTGAGCCCGTCACAAAGCTAGGCCTTCAGACGGCAGGTCCCGATCCAAACCAGCAGGCTTCTCTCTCCTTGAGGTCCCACTAGCTCTTGTCTAGCCGTGTCTCCACGCAGCAGCTCCAGGCCTTGCTCTCAGTCCTGGCTTCTTTCTCACACAGCAGCACATCTCCTCACTCCCTACAACCACCACCTGTTGCCGCAGGACTTGCCTCAGTCCAGGCACACTGAGCACAATCCACAGCCACCATGGGCAGTTGTACAGGGTGTCACTGCACAAGGGTGTCCAGCCAAGCAGGCAAATGGGGGCTAATGATCAGCTTACTTTCCAATCCCCAAACACTGTATTCACCTGGAGATGAGGAAACTTTTTCTAATTTCCTCTGCCCTCTGGCCAGGCCACATATTTGGGGCATAACATCCACCCACAGAGGCCCCTGTGGACCAGCAGTGTGGTGGATACAGCTCTCCCACTGGGCTCCAGGCAGGTGTGGGTGCAGGTGCCCCCTTCCCTCCCACCAGGAGGCTCTGCCACCTCCCTCTGCACGCAGGGGCAGGAGGGAGGGGATTGGAACTGTGGTTTCAGGCTCATCTCCTCGCAGCCAGGTGGGCCCATGAACCCTGCTCAGAGTCCTCCAGGATCCTCGGCTCAGCCTCCTCCTCCCCTCTCTGTATTCTGCACTAACTCCCTCTCTCTGGGCAAGTCCTGGCTTCTGCCTGACCACTACTGGCTCCATCTGCCCCTGCAGACGCCTGAAGCCCCTTCCCTGCCGGCCTGCTCCTCTCAGAAAGGGGGCAAAGCCAGGTGATGGAGGGCTGGCTGCTCCTGGGGAGGGGATGCACTAGGCCAGCTGTTCTCCGAGCAGCCACCCTGGGGCACGGGCTCCGGGGTGTCATCCGTCCTGGAGGGGGCGTGTTAGATCACAGTGACGGTGTCCAAGCCCCCACAGCCACCACGCGTTGTGCTCTGTGATCCCCTCCTTTCCCAGCAGTTCTGAGGCAGCACCCTTGTCAATCCCTTCTACAGGTGGGTAAACTGAGGCACGGAGAGGTGAAGACCGTGTCCAAGGTCATAATGTTAACAAAAGGCACAGCCACTTTTGTTTTTATCTGTAAAAGACCCGCACTTTTTTTTTTTTAACACAAAATCACCATAATATCACATCTCACACACTGCCAGTGATTTCTGAATAAGTGTCCTGGCCAACATCACAGACATAGCTGTCAGGTAGCAACACCAGGATTTGGGTCCTTGTCTCTCGTGTCTCCCTACCTCTGTGCTGGTGGGATGGGCACAGGCACACTTGTCCCCACTCTCACCTGGGCACTGCACCCACGACCAGGGACCTGCCCTTTGTCTGCTGCAGGAATGGCTCTGGTGACCACAGACCTTATGAACGGGGAAGTGGAGGACATGGGGTCTTCTTACCTCGACACGTGTTCTGACTCTCATGACTGAAATTCATTGCTCCAGAAACAAGCCTGTATCCCGGGTTGCACGCACAGTAGTAGCTCCCCTCTGTGTTCCGGCAACTTGCTAGTTTTCCACAGAACACTGACAAGGGTGGTCCACACTCGTTGGAGTCTAAAACAAAATGGGACAAAGGGTCACCTCCCAAATGCATGAGTGCCCTCATGGCAGGAAGCCTCATCTCCTATGTAGCACAGGAGATGCTTAGTTAGTGTCTTTTGGGAAAGACTTAGACTCTCAGGCAACACTGCTGCAGCTGGGCCGTGGCTGGAGCAAGCCATTCCTGAAGCACACACAATCAGCTCTGCTTTTCTCAGCTCTCTGCCTGTCACCCTGGATTTGGATACAGGAGGAAATGCTGAAGTGGTGGATGTGGGGAAGATCTGCATCTTCCTCCCCAGGCCTGGAAGGATAAACTGAGGAACAGATTCCAGACTCATAGAAACCTAGCTCCTCTCTCTCTGGGAAGCCACATTTATTCACTTCCCATTTTTCACCTTTGTATCTTTTTCTTCCTCTTTTTTCTGTCCTTGATGACAGTCCAAGGACAAAGGCTGAGGCCCCCAACCACCACTCACGTCTCCACCGGGCCCTCCACCCCGCAAGTCTCCATACCCTCACAGGTCTCTGAGGCGTCGGTGATGATGTCCTCAGATGAAGAGATGAATCCCGGAAGGCAGCTACAGGCAGTGCCATTGACACATGTGGAGTGTGGAGGGCACCAGGGAGCGCAGGCCGTGGAGGCAGAGGCTGTGGGGATGGAGACCACGGTCACAAGATGAGGCTGAGACAGGGGCTGGGGACGAGTGTTGGGGAGGGGCAACCCTGAGCTTTCCCCCCGCCCCCCCGCAACAGGCCTTTCTCCTGCCTGGGCTGAGAGGTGCAGGTGAGGGCTGGGACCCTGGCTGTGGACTGAGTTACTCCCAGCAGACTCACCCCTGGCGTTCCGGGGTCCATCTTCCGACAGAAGCAGCAAGATACACAGCGCTGGAACAGAGAGATGAGGGTCAGGGAATCACAGAACAGGGAAGGGTTGACAGAGGCCTGGGGATGACACAGCTGACAGATGTGTCACCCGCTCAGGCTTGGGCTCTGTCCACTACCCAAGAAGAGACGTGGCAGGTGGTCCCTGCTGACCTCCAATGCCCATCACCTGAGGGTGGGTTTCAGGAACTGAAGAATGGGGAGGGGCCCGAGCCCGGCAGGGGTCTTGGCTTCTGCTGGCCTGTGGGCAGCAGTTCAGGAAACAGACTGGAGCCAGGTGGCCTTGGTTCTAATTCCAGACCTTGGTCAGGCGCCTCAGCTTCCCCTTCTGTAGAATGGGGATGAAGAGGGGCCCATCTCCTAGACCAGTGTGGGAGTTAAGCACACAAGTGCTGCCTTTGTGTCGTGTTTGCTGTCTTCATCTCTTTATGTAAAAAGGAAGGGGTGGGACCAGGGCTTCTCTCTGATTCCCCCAAATCTAAGGCGCTCCAGCCCCCCCCACGCTCTCTCAGGGACACAGGTGCAAATGCGCAACACCCACATCTGGCAGCCCGATGGCCAGCTTGGGACCCAGTGGAGACACTTCGCCTCCTGCTCCCTGTGCACAGGACGGTGCTGTGGGCTCATGTTGGGGGTGGCGCTGTACGGGCCCCCAGCCCTGCCGTTCCTGCCACTCAGGGGCACCCCCTCCCACGGCCTCAAGTCAGCAGGGGCTCTAGAGATGGGGACCTCCTTATCATTCACCAGAGAGACAGACAAGGAGACAGAGATGGAGAGAAAACAGAGACAGAGACAGGGACAGAGAAGGAGCTAGAGACACAGAGAAGGGAACAAAGAAGACAGGTGAAGAGAAAATTAAGGGATGAGAGACAAACAGAGAGGCAGAAGTTAAGAAGACTGGCCCTGGCTGGTGTGGCTCAGTGGACTGAGTGCCGGCCTGCGAAGGGTCACCGGTTCAATCCCCAGTCAGGGCACATGTCTGGGATGTGGGCCAGGTTCCCAGCAGGAGGGGACATGCTAGAGACAACCATACCATGATGTTTCTCTCCCTCTCATTCTCTCTCCTTTCCCTTGTCCCTAAAAATAAATAAATCACATCTTAACAAATAAATAAAGAAGACAGTGATAGGGAGAGACAGCGGGGAAACCGGGAACTCCTGGGAAGGGAGAGACGCAGAGGACAGAGAGCTTGAGGGTGAGGCAGAGTAACGGAAACAGAAAAGAGGAAGGGAGGGAGGGAGGGAGGGAGGGAGGGAAGAGGGGCCCCGGGCAGCAGGTGGGGTGTGGAAGGACTTGAGGGCGCCGTCCAGTCCCCACTGGTCTGGACATGCGGGGAGGCAGGTGAGGCCTGATAATCCAGAGAGGGGGGACGGCGGGTGGAGGGGCAGGGGGCAGGGGGAAGAGCAGGCACGAATCACTTCCTGGGCCAAATGAGGGTCGCCCTTGGAGGAGCTCCCAGGGAAATTTTGGGGTGGGTCATGGTGAGCATAGTTTGAGGAGCTGTGCAGGGTACAGACTGGAGCGTTCAGCCCCAGCGTCCAAACCTAATTACCCTGCAGGCCAGCAGAGGGCAAAGACCCCTCTCCCCGAGGCCCTCCCAGCTGGGTAAACTGAGGCTGGAGTTCCTCTCTTTCTCCTCTCTGGCCACAGGGTTTGGGGAGGTATCCCCTTGGCCAGGACCGGTTCCTCTTTGTAGGACAGACCACAGAAAAGCCTTCCCTGGCAGGGCAGGACCTGGGCTGACCCGTCCCCAGCAGCGACATTCATGCTCACAGCTGCCCGAGGAGACAGAGGTCCTGTTTGTATTCATGCGACAGAGGGACGAACTGGGGCTTAGAGCCCAGGAAAGCCTTACAGAGAATCTGGTGAACAGGGGGCTGGGGAAGGTGGAAGTGAGGGGTCAACTTCCCAGACCCTGCAGGGAGTGGCTTCTTTGTGCGCCATCAGGCAGAGCCAGTCTTTCCACCCCCACCACGGAGGCTGCTGGGCCAGACCTTCTCCGTCTGGGGCCTTGGAAGTCACCCAAACGGGAGGCTGGAGAGTAGCTGCTGGTCGTCTGCTCACAGTCCCATCTGGTTTGCATTTCCCCAGCTGCGCCCTGCATGGCCAGACTCCCTCCTGCTTAGGGACACTGTGGCCATCATTCTCTAGCTGCTCCTCCTGCTAAGAACGCCCCCAGCCCATTCCCCCAGATGCGCCAGCGAAATCACTATCACCATCACAATGAAAATAATAACAATAAATAACCCCTACTTAATTTTTACTGAGAACCAGGGCTCCCTCAACCCTTAACACTGCCCCATAAAGTGGAGACCAGACTTGCCCTGCCCCATTTTACAGATGTGGAAAGTAAGGATCAGAGCTCTGGGACTTGGCCCCTGACACACCTGCCCCCAAATCACCTAACTGGACGCATGCCACAGGTGAATTATATGCTCTACATATCTCACCTCGATAAAGCCAGAAAAAAAGCTCGTGCCTGTCACCCTGGGAAAGCACAGGGAGCCCTGTCCCTGTGGCCGGGGGAAGCTCTGGCACCCCAAATGTCATTTCTTAACTGTCTTTGTTGCCTGGTTGCCCAGGCAACGAGCTGCCCTGATAACCGTTAGAGCCACCCTGGGTGGGGCGGGAAGGGAGTCCTGGGGAAGTCACAGCCAAACTCAAGTCCAAACCCACAGTGGTAATAATCCCTTCAACCCACGGCTGAGACCCAGCTGAGTCGGAGCAAGACTGCAGGGTCTCTGGGCTTCCCCTGCCACTGTGACAATGGGGGATGTGTTGGGGACACCCCAGAGTAGAGGGGTCCCTGTCCTTAGTTCCCCAGAGCCCCTCTAAGCCATCTGTTAAGAGTGACTTCCTAAGGGGGTCACAGCACTCATTTTCGTCCCCCTCCTTCCCCCTGCTTCAATTTCCCCTCTTAAGGAGCAGCTTCCAACGTGGATCCAGAAGGGAGCTTGGAGATCCCTCTGGGTGTGGGAGGACAGGCTCTTAGAGCACCCAGGGGGTCCCTGCCTGGGCGTGGGGGGCCTGGGCGTGGGGGGCCCGGGCACTGCCAGCCGCTCTCCCACCGCACCCTCCTAACCATGTGTCTTTCTCCAAGTCAGGCCCCAGAGCTGCAGGCTGTTCCTCCTATCTCACCACAAGGCGGCGGTGGGGGTGGGGGTGGGGAGGGAGGAGCGGGGGAGATGGGAAGCACAGGCACCAGAGGGGTGCTGCCAGGGACCCCCAAACTCTCACCACGTAAGACGAGAAAGACGCTGAATCGGGGACCTCCCATGGTCTGAGCTGCCGGCAGGGGAAGCAGAGGCTGGGGCGGGGCAGGGCCGTTCGTGTCCCCAGGCAGGGCAGCTGTGCAGCATCGTGTGGCCTCCGGGCCTTTATAGTGTGGGGTGGGGCATGGGGGGGGGCCACTGCCCTGGGTCCCTCCCCGGAACTGGTGGGGCAGCTGGGAGCCAACAGGAAAGTGCAGTAAAAACACAGACCCAGGGGCACAGCCTGTACACGCACTCACTCACACTTACACTCACACTCACACACACACACACACACACACAGTGGTGTAACCTGCTCTCAGATCCTTTGCAGCGGTTCCACCGTTTGAGCTTCCGACACTCACCCCTGTCCGGGCTCCTCGGCACTTGTCCCGGGGGAGAGGGAGGGCAGGGAGGGCAGTCTTGCCCAGGGGACTCTTTCCCCTGGGGAGGGGCCACATCAGAAACAGCTAGGGCTCCCCTCTCCGGGAGCCCTCTGTGCTCCAGGCCTGACTCCAGGTGCTATTTCAACTCACTGACTGCAAAACACCAATGAGGCAGGTGCAGCTCGGATTCCCCTTCACAGGGGGAGGAGCTGGGGCACAGCTAACAGGTAGCTCAGCAGAGACCAGGGCAGGAGGCCTAGTCCCCAGGGTCCAGGAAGAAGTCTCCCAGGTGCTGATGTGAATTGAACACCTTAGTGACCCTGAGGTGTATCCAGCTAGCACCTGTGGTCTTAGGTTCCCTGTGGTATTAGTTATTTTTAAGTTTATGGGGTCTCAGGGTGACAAAAAGGGCTTTCCAGTTACGACATCAATACATAGTTTCCTTTTGAAATGAACTTATTCAAGGATGCATGAGGGTAGACAATTCAAGAAAATATTAAGTCTGTCATAGTTTGAAAGAGGAAGATCGTGGTCATGGAAAAATAAAGTCACCGATGGCTGCAGGCGGGGGTTGGGGGTCGGGAGTCGGGCGTGGGAGGGGTAGGCACCATCCCAGGGATGGTGGGGCAGCCCCAAGCCTAGAATTAACCTCTTCCTACTCAGGGCATGGGAAGGGGGTCCCATCAGGTGCCCGAGGGCCTGGGGGAGGGACGGGGACAATGGAGGAGGCTGGGACCAGATCAGATCCAGAGTACATTTTGGCGCCTTTAAAAAAAAAGATTTTATTTATTTTTAGACAGAGGGGAAGGGAGGGAGAAAGAGAGAAACAGCAAGGTGTGGTTGCCTCTCGAGTGCCTCCTACTGGGGACCCTTTGGTGCACAGGCGGCACTCAATCCACTGAACCACATCAGCAAGGGACACTTTGGCTTTTTTACCAAAAAGCTGGAAACCCCAGGGCTGGACGTCCTGCCCCAAAGGCCAAGGTCTGAAAGACGGTTCCCGGGGAAGCTGAGGGGTGAGAGTTCCAGCCTGGGGCGGCGGGAGGCCCGCCCTAGGCCTCAGGGCATTGTCCACACACCCTGCACCAGGGATCATCCATTGTTTGCCTCTTTGCCCTGGGAGGGGCCCGGAGCCATTGGAGCAGGTCTAACCTGTCGGGGGATTCAGCCCTCCTGGCTGACGAATGGGATTAGAATGCCTGCCCACTGGCCTACTGCGGTGATGCAGGAGGGAAGGCTTTGTTTGAGATGTTTGCTGCGAGCTCAGGGGAGGCACAAAGAGGAACAGCCCCACCTCCACCTCTGTGAGCCGGCCTGTCTGCAAGCCCTATGGCCCTGACTTCAGCCAGACCCCAAGTCCTCTCACTGCTCCTCGCTGGCCGCCACCATGGTATAGTCCCATCATTTCCCACCTTGGCGCCCTCGATCCTGTCCCCGACGCTCTGTTCCCCGCACAGTGACCGAAGGGTGCTAGGGACTACCTCAGTCAGGGCACATCCCTCCTCTACTAAGATCCCTCCATGGCTCCCGCCTCACTCAGGGTAAGCCTCCAACAGTGCAGAAGACCCTGCCCTCAGCGCCCTCCTGCCCTCAGTCCCTGGGATGCCGTTTTCCTTGCGGTAAACACCAGGCACATCCGACCTCAGCACTCCGGCCCCAGATAACCTCCTGGTTCCCTGCCTGCTGTTCTCCACGTTTTTTGCTCAAACATTCCCTGACATACCTTCCACCTCCAATACAGCCCCTAACCCTCCCCTGTCCTCAGCAACCCCAATTGCTCCCCACTTTCCCGTTCTCTGTGGCACCCCATCTGACCCCCAGCAGGGAATTTACCTGCTTCCCTCTTTCCTGCCTGCTGCTCACCCTGAAGACTGCCAGCCCAGTGGGCAGGACTTTGGTCCCTTTGTGTCTCTGCACCTTGTGGGGTTCCACAGGTAGCAGTACTGCCCCAGCTGCTGCCCCCACTCTAGAGAACCCCCTTCAGGCGTCCTGGTCTGGCCCCAGCCAGAGCTCTGACATCACCCCTCCTCCTTCCTTGAACTTCCCTGAAGCCCCAGCCCCACTGACTATATGGCAGCACCCCCCCCCCCACCGTGGGCAACTTGTGGCCTCTGTTGCCCGTGGTATGAGGCAGGGACAAGGGTCTCCATTTGTCAGATGGAGGCGGGGCAGGGGAGGGGGTGTGGGGCCACTGGCCTGAGGTTCCTCAGCTAGAAAGTGGCTGGGCCAGGAGTATTCAACCAATAATAAGTGATCTATTATGTTACATTAATACTTTTACTCTTATAGCTGGGACAGGAACAAATCTCCAGAGTGGGTAACTGTCGGCATCCAGCACCTACTCTGTGCCTGGCCCTCTTCGAAGCACTCCACACGCGCCCTCTTCCCAGCAGCCCGAGGAGGCAGGTGCTATGATTTGCACTAGACAGACAGGGCAACCGGGGCTCGAAGTGATGAGATGGCGGGCACAGTCACAGGGCACCCCCGTCTCACATCAGAGGTCCAGGGCACCCCCGTCTCTTCCAGTTCTGGACCGTGTCGTCTTGGGTGGGTGAGCTAACCTCTCTGGGTCTCAGTTTCTCCGTCTGCCGGAACCTGGGCAAGGGCAAGTGAGGGTCATAAGGCAGTGAACAAACTGCAGGGACTCGGAATGGATACGAGGCTGTGGCCGTTGTCAGGACGACTGCCTCCTCCGTGATGCCCTCTGCCGTGGGGAAGAGGAGGGAACCCCAAAGTCGTGTCCCCCCTTTCTTGTACCACTCGCCCATGCCCAGCACTCTCAGGAGCTCCACCTGAGGTGAGGGTCAGACGGGGTCTCTGGACAGAGGGGGGCATAACAGGAAGCCCCCTGACTGGGAGACAATGGCAGAGGAAGGGGCCGGGCCAGCCCCCACTCGGATGAGCCCAGCTGCTGGCTCCAGGAGGACGGCACAGCTATTGTGAGGCCAGACAGCTGTCCCACAGCAGGAAGCCCCAGAGAGTGAGGAAAGGGGGCGGGAGGCTGCTGGTCTGCCCTGACCCCAGACCCAGGGGCAGGCGGGACAATGGACCCTTTGTCTCTTCCTGCAGGCTGGACACCTGGGTTCCCCCCAGGCCATCTTTCGAAGTCTACTTGACCAGGTATTCCTGGTCAGACCCTGCCCAGTCCCAGCTGGCATCCTCCGGACCCTTGACCCCCACCCAGCCCGGCCCAGGGAGTTGGGAGGCAGCGCTGAGCCGGGCCATATTTATAGTTCTCTGGCACTGCTGAGTGAACTGCTAAATATAGTAGCCAAGCTATTTGGGGCCTTGGCCTGGGGCAGAGTGGGGGTGCGGGCACCGTATGTGTGCCTCCCTGGCATGGGTCCCCGGGAACTGCCTGGGCCTCTGAGTTTCTGGCGCCGTGGGGACCTGGGGGCAGAAAGCAGTAGGTCTGCTTGAATGGGGTTACAGCAAGACCTGGTGGCAGGGCCCAAAGTGATGAGAGGGGAAGCAAGGGACTTCCCCTTAGAGCAGTGATGCCTTAGAGCAGCGATTTTTAAAACTTTTTTTTTCCCCTGCCGCCCTCAACCTTTTTCATCTCATGGTACACATAAACTAATTATTGAAATTCTGCAGCACACCAAAAAAAATTTTTTTTTGCTGATTTGACAAAAAAAATAGGTATAATCTTGATGATTCTTTTACACCAAACCACTATTTTTGTGTTGGCTGTTGTCACTTTTTTTATTTGACATCTAAGGGAAAAGACGTCAATGCCCCTGACTAAATGATCAGGTATCACGTGTTGTAACAGCTCTTGCAGCTCGCTGGTTGAAATCACGGGCTCAGAAGGACATGGTTTTGAGGGGCCAAGGAGAAGGGTGAGTTTATGGGTGGGGGTCCTAGCACCCACTTCCTTTGCCTCCTTCACCCCAGGCCCTGTTGCGGTAGGAAAGTGGGGCCGAGCCATCACCCCTGAGTGTTCTGTGCTTCTAGGAAATGAAGGCCTTCAGGAAGCTGCAGGGACACCCCCAAACCCCAAACAAACCCCAGCTCCTAGCAACTCACTTCCCCTTCTCCATCACTGCTGAATTCACTGTGGGCTGTGACATGGGCTGGGGGTGGGGTGGGGCTATAAATAGCTGGTTTATAAGCAGCTGCCAACACTGCTGAGCAGGGCTCCCCAAGGCAGAACGGAGAAGGCTCCTAACTGAGCAGCTGGACCTCAGATGGTTCCTAGCTTCACCCCCTCCCAGCGATCACCAAGACTTGGGGAACTAGGGTGAAGTGAAGGGTGCATTGTTTAAAGGGGGCAATGCCGATGATCTCTAAGGCAACCCAGGAACTCAGTGGCCATTAAGACTTTAATGGAAACTTAATGCTTCCTCAGCCACTGGATCAAGTGGATTAAAATATTACACAACTGTGAAAAAGACCACCAGGAGCATGCACTGAGATGGCTGGGTCCTAGCAACATACTCCTTTCTTGACTTTAAAAACTGAGTGACATGCAGCTCTGGCTGGTGTGGCTCAGTGGATTAAGCACTAAACTGAGAAGCAAAGGGTCACTGGTTCAATTCCCAGTCAGGGCACATACCTGGGTTTCGGGCCAGGTCCCCAGCTCGGGGGCTGGGGGCGGGCGGGTTGTGTGAGGGGCAAACACATATCGATGTTTCTCTCCCTCTTTTTCCCTCCCTTCCCCCCTCTCTAAAAATAAATAGATAAAATCTAAGAAAAAAAAAAACCTGAGTGAAGTGCAAACA